ATCACCTTAATCGGAGGTTCGAGTGTTTAATTTGGTGTCTTTAAGGTCTAATTTTTGCCTGCTAAAATTTTGTGCTGATAAGGGGTATCTGCTATGGCGGATACATGCTTTGGCCACAATGGATGGGTTAATTAATTGGGAGAATTTCAATAAAGGACCCTTGACCTAACTTATTTACATTCAAAGCCCTAAAAATTTTTAAATTTCACTACAATCCAAGGGTACTGATTCAATATTAAATTTTTGAGAGAAATGACAAAATTGCTCCTCCTTTAAATTAATATAAGAACTTCTTTACTTTACTTGTTAATTGTCATACTTCACTTATTCATTTACTTACAGAATGTTATTAATTGCCTTACGTAACTTATTTTCATTTTGGGTATTTAAATCATCTTAAGATAACTTGTTAATTCGTATACTATATGTTATTCATTTAATTGCAGACTATTGTTAATTGCCTTACTTCACTTGTTCATTGTCAAACTTTCACTTGATTTCATTCTAGGAAAATAAACAAGTGAAGTAGGGCAATTAACAATATTCGGTAAGTAAATGAAAAAGTAAAATAGGGCAATTAACAAATGAACAAGGGCTGTACTGATATTAATTTAAATGAAAGGCATTTTTGTCATTTTTCTCATAAATTTAATATCAAATCAATACCCCTAAATTGCAGTAAAATTTTAAAAATTTAGAGGCTTTGAATGTAACTAAGTATGGTTAAGGGGTCTTTATTGAAATTCTCCCTAATTAATTTTAGGTCGTGGTAGACATGGCCTTTGGCTGCAACGAAGTGGTCACTATACCACATGTCGTGGTAGATTGTAGGTAAGCCACGCGGATGAATTTTTGGTAGTGTTCGCCACGACAAACGTACTTCCAGTCGTGGCGAATGCTACAAATTTTGTAAAAATGATATTTTTACCCTTATATTATCCCTTTCTCAATGCTTAGGTTAATCTCCATGTTTCTATAATCTTTTCTACCTTGATTTCAATGCATGCTATTATTTTTACTTTAAATATTTATTTTCAAATAATTGTGGGATCCCAATCTTCTAAATTAATTCCTAGGGCTTTGATTTAATTATGTACAGTCAGTTGTCAGTTGATCCTTAATTGTATGAGTTGGTTAGTTAGTAAGGTTTAGAGTCTGATAATGATAGGAGTCATTACAAAATCCCTTATGAACCCTATCTAAGGACCCTCCTTTGAGAAGAATAAGATCGGATCATACTATAGTTTAAGGAATATTAAGACAATGGCCAAGAAAACAAATTAAACTGAAGCAAAAGAAGAAAGCAGGAAACAGATAGATATTGATGGGAGGATTTAGACTCCAGGAGAACCCTTCTCTTGAACCCTTGCTCCAAGACATCATAAGGGATGACTACACTTTTGATAAGTCATAAATTCTCTATAGCACTCAAAGAAGAGCAAGAAAGACTCATGATACGCTGAAAAATGAAACTCATTCAAGTATTGATTTTCCAAAGTACAAAAGCTCTTGAATAAGCTATTGGAAGGACAAAATAAAACCCTAAACCTAATCATTACCATAAGTGACATTATTTTACATTAAAGAGGCCATTAAATGCTGATTACAAGTCAAAGATGGAGCCTTCTGATTCTATCAAATTAGGAAACTAAATTTTCAACAATTATTCCGTGAGATAGGGTTTCTAGAATTCTAATATGACAATAAATAAAATTCCTAACTTATTATCCAAGACCTTGACCATATGTAAAAGACCAAATAATATTCCCTATAAAAATCAGACAAAAATGCCACTAGTAGAGGTCACATGATGTGCACATGACTTTTAAGTGAGCTCTTCAAGTTGGACTTCACTTGTCCCATGATCTTCTAATGCTTCGCCTGCCATGAATAGCATGTCCTCTTGTGTAATCTTGGACCTCCAGTGCAATAACATGTAATGGCTCCATTTCCATTATGTTTTGGATCATTCCATCCAAGGCTTCCTTAACATTCAGATCTTGTCATTGGTATAGCTATGCCTTGTAATGTATCTTTTGCATTCTATGTTAATCATCAAGTTGTTCATACTCTTGTGAATCTTCTGTCTTGTGTCCATCACTTGGTAGATTAAAAATATGTAGCAAGATAACACATTTGAAAAGAACTATTTTATTCAAAAATCACAAAGGAGACAAATTTAAACCCCTGACCTTCTTGGTATGTTATTTGCTTATAATTTTTTCCAAGCCAAGATGACCAAGATCCTGGTTTGATAGAGTTTCCAAAGTTCTCAAATAGGAAGGCTACAAGCAAGGATTGTCTACTATGTTTGTCAGAATCAAAGAATGGAAGAAAACTATTCTCATAGTCTATGTAGATGATATAATCCTTGCAGGGGATGACATAGAAGAAATGGAGAGGCTAAGAGTTTCTTTGTCAAAAGAATTTAAGGTTAAAGACCTCATATTGATGAAGTACTTTCTAGGGATAGAAATTGCAAGATCAAAGAAAGGGACATGTGTTTCTTAAAGGAGGTTCATTCTTGGTTTGCTGAAGGAAACATGGATGTTTGGACGTTGGCCTGTTGGCTTAGTGAGATCCCTATTGAATTTAAAAAGAGGAAGCCAAGTAAGACACATGTTGGGACTAAGAAGAACAAATACAATATATGGTGAAGTGGTGGACAAGGAAATGTATCAAAGGTTGGTGGGAAAATTGATATATTTGTCACGCATAAGACTTGACATTGCATTATTCGGTATGACTAGTCGACTTATTAGTGTACAAAATTGAGATACTTGAAAAGAACTCTTGGAAGAGGGATATTTTTAAAAAAGCATAAACAAAGTTGCTTAGAAATCTACACTGATGTTGATTAAGCAGGTACGGCGGAAAATAGAATATCAACATTTTCTTATTTCACCTTTCTTATTTCATCTTGTGACTTGGTGGAGCTAATATTAGAGAATCATCTATAAGAGCAGTGCAGAATCAAAGTTGAGAGCTCTTTATTAAGGGATCATGGAATGCTTATGGTTAAAAAAAATAATGAAAGAAATACATGTCAAAGTTATTTCTCTAGTAGAGCTTTGTTGTGATAATATCAGCTAGTTGCTGCTTGGTAGGAATATAGGACGAACATATGATTCAATCTTACACATTTTCTTGGATAAAATTCTTATCAACCACAATATGGTTGGTGTAACACCTTACTTTTTAAAACATTTCTGATCAACATCTACTATGGTAATAAAATATGAAACCTATAAAACCATTTATCATGGTAGAAAGGTTTAAAACCAGATGAAACTAATACAATATATTCTTCAAAAATCAACACAATATCTTTTCCAATATAAATAATCCTAATGGAAAAAAGTCTACCATGATAATTAAATATTATCCTGTGAATCAAAACGTGAATAATCACATATTCAATATGGGACATCCCAACCTTAAATTTCCTTTCCAAATCATCATTATCATCATCATAATATTTAGTTCACCCACAAGCAATTGCAACATCCTAAGTCCTCTGCCCTATCTACCAGCACACAATCATAATATATATGTTAAGAGATTTTTTTGATCCAATGGTGCAAGATACAAGTGAAAAATAAGGAGGAGTCTAAGGACAAGCTTGTCATTTTCCAATTTCTAATTTTATTTTTTTTCTTATTTTTATTTCCCACTTGACTATCACACATTATGCATACATATAGTGTTGTTTTATTTTAATTTATTAATTTTTTTTGTTAGTTTTATTTTTTCCAGCATTTATCATAGACACACACCCACACCACTCAAGGCACTTGCACAATAAACTCCCATTTTTCATTTGCCAAACATGACTTAGCATCACACACACACGTCCACATTCGCGATTTGGGTATTCAATTGTTCACTCACTTCCAGAACCACTTTTTTCTGAGCTACTAAATCGTCTACTTCAGGGCTTAAAAAACATGAGAAGTTTGATGAAGCTTTGAAATTCGAATTCATGCGTGGCTGAACTTATTACTATGAGATTTCTCTTCTCTTTTTTCCTTTTTAATTCATGAATTGGAACTTGAATTAAGAACTCAAGTTAAGAGCTAAATAAATTAATTAACAAGTAATATTACACATCTAATAAGTCAAACATTACTTAACAAGAAATATAAGTAACTTGTTTATCATAGGTTAGATGTTAAACAAGTAGCATAATAGACTTAGCAAGTAATGGCAGCAAATTAACAAATAATATTACTTGTCTAAACAAGTAATTTTATTGACATAACAAGTAACTTAACAAGAAAAAAAGTTGACAAGTAAAATTATTTAATAAATAAGTTTGGTAAATTTACTGAGTATAACAAGTAACACAATAAAAAGCTCTTTCGCGATCAATATTAATCTCACTCTAGTCCCAAAATCATGCGGTAAGATTTAAAAAAAAAATATATCATCTCTGGACCACAAGAGTATTTATATCAAATGAAGGCCTTAAAAATCTAAATTTTCACTCCACTCACTTATCACCTATAAAAAAAAATCATTTTTTGAAAAAAAAAATCTAATCATCCTTAAAGCTTAATAATTTAATGAATGATTGTTAATTATACAATTAGTTATTAAAACTCAAATACATGCTTCTTTATATAAAACTAACACTTGTACAATTAAACATGTAATATTAGTTACAATCATTTATTAATTTCAAATAAGTTATTAATTACATAACAATACTTGTCAAAACCCCAATAGAGATTTATTTATACAAAACCAATATTTATACAATTAAACATGTACTACTTGTTGCAACTTATTTATTTCCAAGTAAGTTATCAATTAGATGTAATTACTTATCAAAACTCAAAGAATACTTGTTCATACATCTATAGAATCTTAGGAGTATATACTAATTAGATTTTTTTTCTCACAATCTTATTTTCCAATAGATAATTGAGATGCACTAAAATTTTAGATTTCTAAAATCTTTTTTTTGATATAAAAACTTTCCAAGAATCCTTAAATGATATTTTTCTTTTTTAGAATTCTTTAGACTTCATTTATAAATAGGTCGCATCAATGATCTTTTAATGAAATTCTCCCACATGAAGTTCCCAAAAGATGCCATGAGTTGCAACTTTTCCCAAACTCTGAACATAATAACAAGTACTACTGCATGTCGGATTGCCAAATTCTATGCTTGCCACGCAGGACTAATAAAAACAAATCTTATGCAAAACGGCAATCACAGGCGAGTTATCACAGCTTCCACCTCCGACGGGGAATAAAGATGGTACGTTGGAGCCACCTTGGCAATGTCAACGTTATTGGGAGTCACCTGAAATCAATATCAATAGCATAATGAAAACAAGTAACTACTAGTTTTTCTATTTTGGAAAGGAAAACCATACTCCCTCCAAATCAATTTATTGGACACAGAATATTTTTTTTAATTATATTTATAAATCACATCATTAAATTTTCATCATAAATATCCCTTTTACCCTCCATTAAATATTGAAAAGAAAAAATATATTATTAAAACATGTATATTTACTAGGGATAAAATTGATAGCTTATTAAAATTCTAAGGCAGTTAGTAAGTTTTAAGGTTTTCTTTAATTTATATAAAAACTTATAAGTCTAAAGGAGTATTTAGTTATTTATTTCCCTATACTAACATCTACAAGATTGATCCATACAGTTTAACATATAACACCACAAACAGTGGGATAAAATGAAACCATGAAACTCCAATAAACATTAACCACCAGTGGACAGCCTCATATTTCATTTTCATCCTAACCTGATACGCCAGTTCATGAAGACTGTTCAATAGAGAAAGCACCTTGAAATTAATTTTAACAGGATTCAATCATTTTGTTTTAGTCTAAAGTTCCAGAAAGTATTTTATTACATTTTTAAAGATCATATAGCAATGTTATAATGTGACTGAGCCTTAGTTTGGAGGAGGTAAAAACGCATGTTTGGTTTCTGTTTTGAAAATCCGTTTTGTTTTAAAAAAAATAAATTAAAAAAAATTGTTTGGATAAATGTTTTAAATTTAATTGTTTTCAAAATTGTTCTCATTTTTTGTTTTTAAAATGAAAACATCTTAAATTGTAAAATTAATTCTAAAGCTGCTTTGAAATTAACATAACCAAACATATTTTCATTTTGTTTTGTTTTGAAAAACAATTTTGAAATCTATAATACAAAACAGCTTTTAAAAACAAAAACTAGGAATAGAAACCAAATAGGCCTTAAAATTTCCCCCTATTTTTGTCCCAAATAAGGTTCTGTGTAGATCGGGACTTAACACAACATTGAAAGAAAAGAAGGAAGCAGAAAATCATTTTAGCCATGGTACTGGGAGCTAAGAAGAGAAGGATAAACAATTAGCACTATAAATAGGATATTAGGAGCCTGTTTGGTTTCTATTCTCATTTTGTGTTTAAAAACTGCTTTGTAATACAATTTTTAAAATTGTTTTTAAAACAAAATAAAATGAAAATCCATTTGGTTATGTCAATTAAAAAATAATTTTAAAATAAAAAAAAAAGAACTGATAATGATGATTATAGACATTTAATGATTATAATTAATAATAAAAATTGATCAAGATAACTATAATTTTCAATAATTAAATGTATTGTATGTTAAAAACAAGAAAAATAAAACGAAAATAACTTAAAATTGTTTCTATTTTCTTGTTTTTAAAAACAATAAAGGAAATAGTTTTGGAAACAACTAAATGAAAAACATTTATCCAAATAAATTTTTAAATTTTTTTATTTTCAAACACAAAAAAGAGTTTTTAAAAACAGAAAAACAAACCCATTAATTTTTTGTTTTTAAAAACTGTTTTGTAATACAATTTTTAAAATTATTTTTCATAACAAAGTAAAATGAAAATCCATTTAGTTATGTTAATTTAAAGACAGTTTTAGAATAAAAAAATAAACTAATAGCGATGATTATAAGCAGTTAATGAAGATGATCTATGATAGAAATTAATTAAGATAATTGTAATTTTCAATAGTTAAATGTAGTGTATCTTTAAAACAAAAAAAATGAAACAAAAACAACTTAAAGTTGTTTCTTTTTTTTTTGGTTTTAAAAAACAAAAAATGAAAACAATTTTGAAAACAATTAAATCAAAAACACTTACCCAAACAAGGTTTTAAATTTTTTGTTTTCAAAAGAAAAAAACAATTTTTTTAAAAAAAGAAAACAAACAAACCCTTAACATTTAATTTATCCTTACCTTCTCTTCCATAACTTGCTTCAGAATGGATAGAGCGATAGTCTCAGCTTCTTGAAGAGTTAGGTCCTGCAAAACAAACCAAAGGTCATGGACATCCAGTTTTCATGCCATGTGGATGCTTCTGGGAGGCCTTCAAATCAGCAGGTGCAAAGTGACAGAGAATAAGGATGGGATGCCTTAATTTGAAATCAAAACAATTACCTGATTTAACGTTTCACAGAACACCAAAATAACCAGTAGGTTGATGGAAGCAAAGATAAATGAAAATCGCATGATTCATGGAATAAATTAATAAGTAAGATAGCGTTATATAATTGGAAGAAGAGTATAGATGAATGGATAAGAACTTGCTAATCCAGTATCACTTGTGCTTTACATTGAAAAGGAATATGCTCCCTCCGTCCCTTCGTATAGTACCCAGTTCTCCACAGCCCTTGTCCCATTTTATAGTACCCTTTTCACAATTTCAGGAGGTATTATAAAATCTTTCCAAATATACTCCTAGGTCCCATTTGGTTGCTAAAAAGAAATGAAATGGAATGAAGTGAAAAAATAAAAATAAGATCATCAAAATATGAAGGGAGATAAGTGAACTATATTCAAAAGGAGAAGGATATTTAATTTATGAAATTGGAAGTCATAATTCATAAAATTTTTTAAAGGTTGTGATAATTTCCACATTTGTGGTACGTAGTATTGAGTTTTATCATACTTATCTTGAAGGGGAAGAGTGACTTAATTCATTTTTGTTTTGATTTTTTTAATCACTTTTACTCTTATCCTTTCTGGCTACCAAATGGGACCTTAATCAATTATTATTTTTTTTCCAATGATTTAACTAATAACAAGAAGTTTTATCCCACTAATTGAAATTGGCTACAAGAATCGCACAACGTCACTATGCTCTGTCAGCAATAATAAATGATTTAATCATTAGCACAGTACATTAGGGGTAAATTTGGAAAGGAAAAAAACTGACAAACAACTTCCTCGGCACTGGATACTATATTAAGGGACTGAGGGAGTCCTTAATTTCTAAAGAATGAGACGGTACAGTACAGATATGTCAGAATTTAATCTTTTGGGATATCAGACAAAAGTGCTCAATCATAGAAATGCCATTCAAAACGCAAGTATATATTTTCATACAATTTTACTCCTCTATTGCCACTAAGCTAGACTAATATTAACTCATCAATCCCTCCATTTCAATTCAACCCAGAAAGAATAACCATCAAGTGCCGTCATTCATTCATTTATTTATTTTTTCTTCTCTTTCTACTTCTCATAATCACTACCGAACATGTTTTATTGTTACAGACAGCAATAATATAATTAGAATCAATTTCACCGTCAAAACACGCATACCTTATTGTATTGTTCTTGCAGAGAACTGTCGGCTCCTTCTGAGCCCGAACCAATAGCTTTTGCATTGCATTGCCAAAATGTTCCTGATGGATCAGTATAATATCTGCATATCAGAAGCCTTCGACTCAGTTAAAAATCAACAATAGACTTCCTAAAAGAATAGGCATCAATAAGACCAGCAACAGCAAAATAAAAAATTCCCTTTGGAGAAAAAAGGAATGGAGCCTTCAAAGAGGAAAATTGAAACAAATAACAAGCAACACTGATTGTGATATGCACGTTGATATGAATTACATAAATGGAGCCTTCATAGAGAAAAGGATTGATTATCCTCACGAAAGAAAAGGAACAAGTGTAAAAGAAACTGGTAATATCATCAGATATCAGACAAGTCCCCTTTAGTTTTTTTTTCTTCCTCTGAATTCCTAGTCTATAACACGCTAGTAAAAAGCTTGCATCAAATTCTAAGAACAAACCCTAGCCTCCCATAATACCCCTGCAGCAACAAAATAACCCATTGGGTATCAGAGAGAATCAATTTGCTTCCTTGTAATTTTGTTATGCCCTTGTAATATTCAAGTTATTATTTTTTATTACTTTATAAAGTGGGGCTACACTAACCTTTTCTATTCTCAAAATCACCTTTTCAACTAATTCCTTTCTAATCTATGTACCAAATGCGCTCTTGAAAATTGAATAACTGATACATGATAATTGAATAAATAATTCAGAAAATCTAAATAGAAATATCAAGGAAGAATGAATCAAGAAATGTTGCTTAGTCTTTGTTGAGAACTTGAGTAAAGGGTAATTTAGGGGTTTTATAGAATTTGAAAACAAGAACCCCTCTTCATTTGATGTAACTACTCGAGCTGGACGAGAGGAAACTTTCACATCCCATTTGACAGGGGGAGATATTATACAAATTTTTTGTTTGCTAGGCCCATAGTTAAAAAACCCACTTTCTTACTATTACAAGGTGATTTGAATTTGAAATCCAATCTCGGAAATACAGCATTAACATCTTCACTGATAAATTTCCATGCATAAACAAATATAAGTTGCATTATACCACATTGAAAATGAGATAAACAATCAGTGACAACCACAGCATTGATGCACACCTCATAAGTAACCATTACATAGTAAAATGAAGAACAAGTACTCACAAACTAGGTCCGTTCTCATCATGGCCTGCAATGAGGAGAGACACTCCAAAAGGTCGTGACTGTCAACATAGGAAAAAAAAGTTATAGGTCATACATTAAAATGCACCCGTGGTAGATTTGTAAAGAAAAACAGAAGTTAAAATACTAGAGTGACGAAATAAAAATAAGGATATTTTCCAAGGAAAAAGAAAACAATAATGGCAAAAAAAAAAACACCTCATATAAATGCTGGCAAGAAAAATGGACCACATGTAAAACTTAGGATACATAAAAAAACACAAGATAATAGGAAAAATTAAAATGCAAGACAGTAGAGAAACCCTAACAAATAATTAACTTTATAAAATCATAACCAATTAATAAAATCAAAACGTGGCAAGATAGGATAGATAAAAAATAATTAATTCAAATTCTAAATAATTCTGAATTTTTAAATCATACATTAATATAGTTATCTATAATTCCTAATATATGAATAATGAATATTAAATTATTTTTAGTCTCTTTTCAATATCCGTTGTTCTCTCCTACTTGGAGAGAACTTGACCGCAAGTTTTGAAGTAAGAAAGTAGTGGGTTAATCCATCAAGGGACCTCAAGTAAGTTATAATACGCAACTTCAACACGTGAGAGCCTAGACGACACCAGAGTTTGTAATAAATCTAAAATAATAATTTTGATTGGAGTTGGCAAACTCCGCCTATGTTTATAGCCGGTCCCAAGCCCGGGTAAAGGAGGAGGGTTGTGTTAGGCCATCAACAGCCAATGTAAAAATTTGTTGAATCTATCATGAACATGGACAATAGACGTTATAATGTTAATGCTAGGTCGTTGCCCGTAAGTAACGCGCTGCATGGCTCGAGTACAGTGATAAGTGAGTTAGAGCCGCTGCATCGGCGCCCGGATGTAGTGTTAAATGAGCAAGGGCTACCGCGTCATTCTGGACGCACGCGGCTAAAGAAGTTAGTCCATAAGAGCAAAATTAGATTTGGTACTTGGAATGTTGGGACATTAAATTGTAAATCTGTAGAGGTTGTAGGGGTTATGATTCAAAGGAAAATCAATATCCTTTGCTTGCAAGAAACAAAATGGCGTGGAGAAGAAGCTAAGGATATTCAAGGTTTCAAACTTTGGTATACAGGAAAAGTAAGTGCACGCAATGGAGTAGGCATCATTATAGATAAGGAGTGGAAGAAGAACGTTGTAGAAGTTAGCAGAATTGGAGACAGAATTATTTCTTTAAAAATGATAATTGGACGTGAGACTGTTAATATTGTTAGCGCTTATGCGCCGCAAGTCGGGACAGAAGCCAGTCGTAAGGAATTATTTTGGGAGGATCTGGAGGGGTTGATTCGACACATACCACAGAGTGAAAAGATTTTTATTGGAGGAGACTTTAATGGGCATGTCGGGAGGGAAGCTGGTCAGTATGCGAGGGTGCATGGTGGTTTTGGTTTTGGAGAGCTAAACAATGAAGGGCAAACTCTTCTTGATTTCTCATTGGCGTATGATTTTAAGATTGCCAACACTTGTTTCAAGAAGAGAGATGAGCATCTCATCACCTACAAAAGTGGAACCTCAAGGTCGCAGATTGATTTTCTTTTGGTTAGGAACACAGATATAAAACTTTGTAAAAATTGTAAGGTGATCCCTGGAGATGCTGTAACGACACAACATAGGGTCCTAGTCCTTGATGTGTGTATTATGAGTAAAATCCAAAAACGTCGACAAGTAGTAACACCAAGGATTAGGTGGTGGCAATTAAAAGGTGAGAAGCAAGATATTTTCAAGCGAAATCTTTTGGATAAAGGAATTTGGGATTCTCAGGGAAGTGCTAACATCATATGGGAGGATATGGCTAAAAAGATACGGGAGGTTGCAAAAGTAGTTTTGGGAGAATCGAAAGGTCCTGGTCCGAGAGATAAGGAGTCTTGGTGGTGGAATAATAGTGTACAGGACAAAATCAAGTATAAGAAGAACTGTTTTAAAGCCATACATTTGTGTAACAATGAGGAAAATTGGGAGAGGTACCGTATGGCTAAGAAGGAAACTAAGAGAGCTGTGGGTGAAGCTCGTTCTAAAGCTTTTGAAGAATTTTATAAGAACCTTGAGACGAAGGAAGGAGAGCAAAATATTTATAAGATTGCCAAGAGTAGGGAAAGAAAATCAAGAGATCTAGAACAGGTAAGGTGTATTAAGGATGAAGAGGGAAGAATTTTAGTTACAGATGATGAAATTAAAAATAGATGGGAGACTTATTTTTCTAAACTTTTCAATGATGGAGAGGATTCATCTAGTAACTTGGAGGATTTAGTAACTGGTGAAGGAGAACAAAATTTGTCATTCTATCGAAAAATACGTGATAAGGAGGTAAAGGAAGCTCTTAAGAAAATGGCAAATGGTAGAGCTAACGGACCTGATTGTATATCTATCGAAGCGTGGAAATGTTTAGGTGAAGAAGGGGTGAGATGGTTAACTAAGTTATTTAATGTGATTTTACGGTCCAAGAAAATGCCTGATGAGTGGAGGAGAAGTACATTAATTCCTATTTATAAAAATAAAGGAGATATTCAGAATTGTACTAACTATAGAGGGATTAAACTCATGAGCCACACAATGAAATTGTGGGAGAAAGTAATTGAGCACAGGTTGAGATTGGAGACAAGTATTTCTGAGAATCAATTTGGTTTTATGCCAGGTAGATCAACTACAGAGGCGATTTATCTACTAAGGGGATTAATGGAAAAGTATCGTTGTAAAGATAAAGATCTACACATGGTTTTTATTGATTTGGAAAAAGCTTATGACCGTATACCAAGAGAAGTGCTTTGGAAAGCGTTGGAAAAAAAGGGAGTACGGATTGCTTATATTAAAGCCATACAAGATATGTATGAGGGGGTAAAAACTAGTATAAGAACGCCTAGTGGTCAAACAAAGGATTTTCCTATAAAGATTGGGCTACATCAGGGATCATCTCTGAGTCCTTATTTGTTCAACTTGATTTTAAATGTTTTGACGGAACATATTCAAGAGGAAATCCCGAAATGTATGCTCTTCGCGGATGATATAGTTCTTATAGCAGAGACAAGAGAAGAGGTTAATTGCAAACTTGAGTTATGGAGGAGGACATTGGAGTCGAAAGGTTTTCGTCTGAGTAGAAGTAAGACGGAATATTTATATTGTAAATTTGGTAAAGGACTATTCGAAAATAATTTGGAAGTGAAATTGGGAGATCAAATTATACCTCAAGTGGAAAAGTTTAGATATTTGGGAGCCATTATTCAAAATGATGGCGAAATCAGTGGAGATATTTCACATAGAATTCAAGCTGGGTGGTTTAATTGGAGAAAAGCTAAAGGAGTTATTTGTGACCGTAAGGTGCCTAATAAACTTAAAGGAAAGTTTTATCGTACTGCTATCAGACCGGCAATGTTATATAGTAGTGAATGCTGGGCTCTAACGGGACAGCAAGAGCATAAAGTTGGAGTAGCAGAGATGAGAATGTTACGATGGATGTGCGGACATACACGTAAAGATAAAATTCGAAATGAGCACATACGTGAAAAAGTGAGGGTGGCACCTATTGAGGAAAAAATGGTAGAAAATCGGTTGAGATGGTTTGGGCATGTACAAAGAAGACCAAGGGAGGCACCAGTGAGAAGAGTGGAACATATAACTTTGAGTCCGATTAAGAGAGGTAGAGGAAGGCCTAAGAGAACACTCTTGGAAGTTGTTGAACGTGATCTCTTAATTAATAATATTTCTAAAAGCTTAATAAATGATAGAGCACAATGGCGTCTTGCAATCCATGTAGCCGACCCCACCTAGTGGGATAAAGGCTTGTTGTTGTTGTTGTTGTTGTTGATTGGAGTTGGCAAATGGTGTGGTTGAATCTGAACGCAGCACTCTAATGATTTAACTTCAAACCACTGTTTAGAATCAGCAAGATCTTCATTGTCTCAATTTAGATTCAACTACTCATCCAAATCCATCATGTCACCATAATCATCAATATGACAATATCGGATGGGCAATCCAGCGGATTGGCAATGATAATATCAGGCTCTGATGATATAATATTCTTTAATGTATATAAATCTTGTTGAAGAAATTGTTTTGCCAATAACAGTTTTAAATTTTTCAGGCAAGCGGTGAGTTGTCTACATTATTGACCTATGGCACTTAAAACATCATTACATCAAATACATACTTCCAGCAACCAAGGTGTGATTGGACAAAGGGAAACTTCACTTTGATACCAAATAGACATGAGACCAAAAGCAAGCATGAAGAAAAAGTGGGGAGAAGAAAAAATAGGGGAGGAAAGAAAAGACAGGGAGATGTAGAAGAAAGGCTGGGCCACCGGGGAACTAGGAGAACTTTTATTAACACAACCTAACCATAACTAGTAAGAGCATTGTATAGAGCTCAAAAGATGCAATTAAAACCACAAAGTAATATGGTAATGGGAAAATCCCAACAAAATAATATGAATTTCATAAATAGCTAAATTTATAAAATTATCAGCAATTAATAAATAAAATAAATACTTCAAAGATGACTAATAATTGCCCGGATGTAGTGTTAAATGAGCAAGGGCTACCGCGTCATTCTGGACGCACGCGGCTAAAGAAGTTAGTCCATAAGAGCAAAATTAGATTTGGTACTTGGAATGTTGGGACATTAAATTGTAAATCTGTAGAGGTTGTAGGGGTTATGATTCAAAGGAAAATCAATATCCTTTGCTTGCAAGAAACAAAATGGCGTGGAGAAAGAGCTAAGGATATTCAAGGTTTCAAACTTTGGTATACAGGAAAAGTAAGTGCACGCAATGGAGTAGGCATCATTATAGATAAGGAGTGGAAGAAGAACGTTGTAGAAGTTAGCAGAATTGGAGACAGAATTATTTCTTTAAAAATGATAATTGGACGTGAGACTGTTAATATTGTTAGCGCTTATGCGCCGCAAGTCGGGACAGAAGCCAGTCTTAAGGAATTATTTTGGGAGGATCTGGAGGGGTTGATTCGACACATACCACAGAGTGAAAAGATTTTTATTGGAGGAGACTTTAATGCGCATGTCGGGAGGGAAGCTGGTCAGTATGCGAGGGTGCATGGTGGTTTTGGTTTTGGAGAGCTAAACAATGAAGGGCAAACTCTTCTTGATTTCTCATTGGCGTATGATTTTAAGATTGCCAACACTTGTTTCAAGAAGAGAGATGAGCATCTCATCACTTACAAAAGTGGAGCCTCAAGGTCGCAGATTGATTTTCTTTTGGTTAGGAACACAGATAGAAAACTTTGTAAAAATTGTAAGGTGATCCCTGGAGATGCTGTAACGACACAACACAGGGTCCTAGTCCTTGATGTGTGTATTATGAGTAAAATCCAAAAACGTCGACAAGTAGTAACACCAAGGATTAGGTGGTGGCAATTAAAAGGTGAGAAGCAAGATATTTTCAAGCAAAATCTTTTGGATAAAGGAATTTGGGATTCTCAGGGAAGTGCTAACATCATATGGGAGGATATGGCTAAAAAGATACGGGAAGTTGCAAAAGTAGTTTTGGGAGAATCGGAAGGTTCTGGTCCGAGAGATAAGGAGTCTTGGTGGTGGAATAATAGTGTACAGGACAAAATCAAGTATAAGAAGAACTGTTTTAAAGCCATACATTTGTGTAACAATGAGGAAAATTGGGAGAGGTACCGTATGGCTAAGAAGGAAACTAAGAGAGCTGTGGGTGAAGCTCGTTCCAAAGCTTTTGAAGAATTTTATAAGAACCTTGAGACGAAGGAAGGAGAGCAAAATATTTATAAGATTGCCAAGAGTAGGGAAAGAAAATCAAGAGATCTAGAACAGGTAAGGTGTATTAAGGATGGAGAGGGAAGAATTTTAGTTACAGATGATGAAATTAAAAATAGATGGGAGACTTATTTTTCTAAACTTTTCAATGATGGAGAGGATTCATCTAGTAACTTGGAGGATTTAGTAACTGGTGAAGGAGAACAAAATTTGTCATTCTATCGAAAAATACGTGATAAGGAGGTAAAGGAAGCTCTTAAGAAAATGGCAAATGGTAGAGCTAACGGACCTGATTGTATATCTATCGAAGCGTGGAAATGTTTAGGTGAAGAAGGGGTGAGATGGTTAACTAAGTTATTTAATGTGATTTTACGGTCCAAGAAAATGCCTGATGAGTGGAGGAGAAGTACATTAATTCCTATTTATAAAAATAAAGGAGATATTCAGAATTGTACTAACTATAGAGGGATTAAACTCATGAGCCACACAATGAAATTGTGGGAGAAAGTAATTGAGCACAGGTTGAGATTGGAGACAAGTATTTCTGAGAATCAATTTGGTTTTATGCCAGGTAGATCAACTACAGAGGCGATTTATCTACTAAGGGGATTAATGGAAAAGTATCGTTGTAAAGATAAAGATCTACACATGGTTTTTATTGATTTGGAAAAAGCTTATGACCGTATACCAAGAGAAGTGCTTTGGAAAGCGTTGGAAAAAAAGGGAGTACGGATTGCTTATATTAAAGCCATACAAGATATGTATGAGGGGGTAAAAACTAGTATAAGAACGCCTAGTGGTCAAACAAAGGATTTTCCTATAAAGATTGGACTACATCAGGGATCATCTCTGAGTCCTTATTTGTTCAACTTGATTTTAAATGTTTTGACGGAACATATTCAAGAGGAAATCCCGAAATGTATGCTCTTTGCGGATGATATAGTTCTTATAGCAGAGACAAGAGAAGAGGTTAATTGCAAACTTGAGTTATGGAGGAGGACATTGGAGTCGAAAGGTTTTCGTCTGAGTAGAAGTAAGACGGAATATTTATATTGTAAATTTGGTAAAGGACTATTCGAAAATAATTTCGAAGTGAAATTGGGAGATCAAATTATACCTCAAGTGGAAAAGTTTAGATATTTGGGAGCCATTATTCAAAATGATGGCGAAATCAGTGGAGATATTTCACATAGAATTCAAGCTGGGTGGTTTAATTGGAGAAAAGCTAAAGGAGTTATTTGTGACCGTAAGGTGCCTAATAAACTTAAAGGAAAGTTTTATCGTACTGCTATCAGACCGGCAATGTTATATAGTAGTGAATGCTGGGCTCTAACGGGACAGCAAGAGCATAAAGTTGGAGTAGCAGAGATGAGAATGTTACGATGGATGTGCGGACATACACGTAAAGATAAAATTCGAAATGAGCACATACGTGAAAAAGTGAGGGTGGCACCTATTGAGGAAAAAATGGTAGAAAATCGGTTGAGATGGTTTGGGCATGTACAAAGAAGACCAAGGGAGGCACCAGTGAGAAGAGTGGAACATATAACTTTGAGTCCGATTAAGAGAGGTAGAGGAAGGCCTAAGAGAACACTCTTGGAAGTTGTTGAACGTGATCTCTTAATTAATAATATTTCTAAAAGCTTAATAAATGATAGAGCACAATGGCGTCTTGCAATCCATGTAGCCGACCCCACCTAGTGGGATAAAGGCTTGTTGTTGTTGTTGTTTAGAATTGCTAACCCTAACTAAATTTTTATTTTCTATATTTATCTGTAATTCATAATTTACAAATAGCTATTGTTGTATTTTCTAATCTTTTTTCATCCTCCATTCTTGGCATATTCCAAAAACTAGTCAATTACAATAGTAAGTTGCAAGACAATGTCATGCACCAAACAGAACATTACATCATATGTATGCATCCTCAAAGCCTAAGTGATGACATGTTCAAAACACTAATGGAGACTTAGGTAATGGGGCTCAATCCCACATTGAGTAGTATAGATGCTCAAGGGTACTTAAGTAGGTAGGGACTCTTGCCTCAATAGCCAGCTTTTAGGAGAAAGTGTTTCCCATCCCACTTGAGTACCCATTAATTGGTGTCAAAACTGGTGATTGATGGTTCAAAAGGGCTACTTGCAAAGGGTCTTGACCAGCAACGAAGTCGAGTGAAACTTTGCACAAATTCATTGCTAAGACATTGGATCTCCAATACGGGATGCCCAAGTCCCAAATTCAATACTGTGCAATGCTCAATGGAGAATTAAGTCAATTAGTTCTCCAACCTCGATAGCTATCTTTTGGGAGAGGATTCCCCATCCCAATTTAAGTACCATCAAGTGCCAATTAATATTTATCAATTAACGGTTCATAACTTATGATAATATTTTATGCTTTCTAGTATATTTGCAAGAGTAAAAAACTTATCTTGCAGTGATTTAATAACATGTAAAATATTAGTAAATAAAAACACTCAATACCTAGAGCTGGCGTTCACTACTAGAATGCATAAAGAAAAACTACCTCAACTCCCCATCGATCCTTCCATCCCATTCAATCTTATCCAAAGTTATAATATCCCAACCCTTCAACAACATCCATTTACATGACTTTTACAGGTGTTGTTCCTAATTTTTACTTGCATTTTTGCAAGAACCTGTGATGACATTCCTCTCCTGATTCTGCCTTTATCTTAGATAAATTCTTGAAATTCAACTATCTAACCCTTCCACGGCATGCATTTACAGCTCTACTTGTTCATAATCTTTTCCAGAGCACCTTGCATCCCTTAATTGCACATGATTGAAGATTAAGGGAGGTTTTGGAATTACTTCAAAGATTACAATTGAGCCCCAAAAAATTAAGCTAGCATACCTTTTTCATGCAAGAATATAATGAATAAAAGCAACTCCAATCTTTCAAAATATAAATAATTCTTCATCAATTAACTGCAATCTCTTTGGCCCAAAAACAAAATTACCATCATCTCTAGCACATTTTTTCACAAGCAATCTCTTAGCAATCCAACATTCTGCACCAAAGGCACAACATCACAGACATTTAAAGCATACGTGCCACTTAACGTTAAGGTTATCTTTCAATTACACAAATGAAAGATTTGTTCTCCATTGTCCAACCACACCTAAATCCATCAGATAAGTTCGAGAAAACAAATAAATAAACCACTGAAACCACATAGGCATGAAAGATACTTCTTCAAGAACACATGCAAGTTATACATGAAGCGACTTAGCAATAACTATTTATAAATAGTTAGGCCCGTATTATGCATACCATGTAATGTCAAATGCAATACAGCATATATAGACATAATTCAGAATGCTAAGCGGATCTTTACCATTGACTCTTCATCACCTTCACCAAATCGCAAGGCTAGATCACATAGAGCTTGGGTGGTTGATTCTACAGTCATTGGCTCCCCATAGGAGAACCTATGATTCTGAGAACAGTAATATGATACATGTAAATCACTAGATAACCAACTAACAATTAAAAGAAAAAAAGGTACAGCAACAGAACCTGAGTTTCCACTCGTGCATGCTCAACAAGTGTTCGAGCATCAGCAATTAGTCCACTCATTGCACAACCAATGTGCTGATCGATTTCCATGATTTTCTCTACACTGCTGGGCTCCTAGAGAGAAGTTTAAACAAAAATATATATGTATATATGAAGGAAGTTGCACAAATACAAATATATAACTGCCCAAAGAAAATGTGGCTTCAGCTGATCGAATATCATTAGAAATATCTGACAATCATATTTCAAGATCTTACCCTAACAACTTAATCTTCAACAATAATCATATTTCTTTTCCCAAATGGAACACCAAATAACTCTAGGTTAAGTTAGAATATGAAATAGATGTTACGTTCATTACTATTGGACTGTCATTTGAAGCTTTAATACCAAAGAATATAACATATTTCACAAAATAAAATGAAAATTAGATGACCAAAACCAAGGTTAGAAGAATTCAATGTCATGGTACAAACACATTTTTGCCTGTGCATATTATAGAGCGTGCAGTAAAATAATCTTCAAAAGAATATATTTCAGTAAAATAAATCATGAGGGAAATCAAAACCAACAAGAACTCCCAATGTACAATTTTCATCCAGTAAATCTGCCTCAAGTCTCAACACATGTTTCTTATGCATTCTTCTCATCACCTACTCCAATAACGGAACTAGCATTGCGTTTCTTAAAAAGTGGTATTAGCCAATGACACTTTACAAATTACAATAATACAACTTGAAAAATAAACATACCAGCAGTGGTGAAGTGATGCGCTTTTCAACAGCAAGGACAACACCCTCTTTTGTCTTCAACCCAATAGCAGTTGATCCCAGCTGCAGCCAACACAAGCCACTTTATAATTTAAAATTAATTTATATTAAATTATTATAGCAGCAAAAAACCAGAAGGCACAAAAACAGTGGAAAAAAGCATTGAATTGCTCACTCTCAAATCACTTTAACAGTTAAACTTCAACCACATAAATAACAGATATAGGAAGCATGAAATAAGTGTAGCTTTCAATGCTTCATTATAAGCCAAAAATTTCCAAAATATGAACATGATTCACGTTAAAAATGAGAAGGAATTGATCATATAGAAATAACATGTCCTAGCCATAGAAGGAAACAATAACAATGAAATGAGAGATCACTGTCAAGAGCAGCATACCTTGATGGCCTCAATAGCATATTCAACCTGAAATAGCCGGCCCTCAGGAGAAAATGTGTTAACTCCTCGGTCATACTCAGTCCTTTCTCACATCCAAACACAATAAACAAAAGACTCAATTGATTTCAGAAAAACGTTCATATCAGATTGTAAGTACAGGGCTGAAGAAAGCAAATAAGGAAAAATCCAAGAATGCATTTTGCATCGAAGAGAAAAATGGGGTTCACCTTGTTAGAAACATCTTCGTTCTGATCTGATGAGATCACTAAATGACACAGAATAGGAAGAGATTAGGGCAAAGATAAAGAAGGAAAAAAAAAAGGAAAATAATAGCAAAATTTCATTCTTGCGAAGTCATTTTGTCTTGCATTTTTTTCCCCACGTTTACTTGGCGTCCTTTGAAGTTGATAGAAATCAATTATCTAACAGTTTAGAACTTTTAAGTGCAGGGCCAATTTTTTTTTTTTTAAGTAGCTTCTAATAAGAAAATAAAAATCTAAGCCATTCCATTAAGCAAGCCTTGAAAATACCATCTTATCCATAGGCGCGCCTATATTACACTCAAATGCCCCCACTGAAATCTTTAAAATATGTATACTTGATATGATACCCTTTTAATTTTTATTCCAGATACTTTGACGAAGAAGCCTTAGCAAGCCAATTGATTCAGGCAACTCCTCCAAGCCACTGAAGACTGACAATTTAAACTCGAGCTTCTATACCGCTAAACAACTCGAGCCAAGTCATTTACCAGATCATGCATCACAAATACCTTAAGAATTTTCTAAATTGATGATAATATAAAGAGATTAATCAACAGAATGCCAATATACAACAAATCTAACACTGCACAACAAAACAATCCAAAGCATATAAGTCGCTCGTAATCAAAATGAGGACGACAGAAGTATAATAGCAGATTACACACTACAAGCAAATAGTAATCAAAGTTTTTTTTAAAAAAATAAACTCAATCTTTATTCAAGATCGTCAATATTCAAACAAATGCACGACCAGATTCAAAGCCAAGTTAAAATGAAAGATTTAAAACAAAGCAAGAAACGCGACGGTGTCCGACATAGGTTGAAAGCCACGCAAGGAACAGAAAACGCGGGGAAACAAATTCTAATCTAGATTGGAAGCCAGATTGAACAAATCAATCTCACCGGATTTTGGGAGTAGACAAAGCCCTAGGGTTCGACCCTTCTTCAATACTTGCCGGAAAACAACCTTGACAAAGGTGGACGGCGTCCGACGACAATCTCGACCCAGCGTGGGAAAGCTTGTTTTCGAAGAAAAATCAATCTGCTGGTTCTTACAAGATGGGGTAGTGTTTCACTCTAAAGTGGCTTGTTGCCCAAGAGCCTTCAGCCAACCTGATAAGCCCCATGTTGGCCCGCTATACAAGCTGGGCTCTTTTTTTTTTTGGCCCAGAATACAAACCGGTTTTAGATGACGCCCATTTAAATCTAAATTTTTAAGGGTTTCAGTTTTAAAAGTTGAAAATTTTCAGTATATCCGAATTTCTAAACCCAGCTTTGTCAGGGGCCTGTAAAAGTAACTTCCAAGAAGAAAAAATCATATTAAAAAAAAAACAGAGAAAACATGAATGTTTTGTAATTCATTTTCCACGTTAGTCTATGAATTAAAATAATGTTTGTGTCCATGAACTCCACCTCTCCTTTATTTCATGAGCGAATTTATTATTTAAAACATTTTTGTGATAGTGTGATATTGTGAAACAATTATTTGTTGGGTTCTTTGATTTGTTAAGCAAGTTTATACATGTATATATCAAATGATTAGCATGTAAAAGTTTGACTTATAATTGTGAAACAATTAATATTTAGATTTTATTTATTTATTTTAAATTTTAAAAAAATTTAATTAATTTATAATTTTATAATGGTTGAACTTTATTTTTAAAAAAAAATATTTTTTTAAAGAATATGGGCTAGCATGAGCTCTCTGAATAAAAATCAAGCTTTAGAAAATGAATAAAGTCAAAGAAATCTGGCTTATGATCCTGAACTCATAAGGACATGGCCTATAAGGGCCAGCCCATATGGGTTGATTTGGGCAATTTCCTTACTCTATAGTGGTGTCACATATTCAAAACAAAAGGAGATAATTAACCAAGTGAATTTTTCATCAAAATTGAATATTTGGGCTACCCTAAATGACTTGCCAAAGAGCCCAAATGTAATTTCAACACCCACATGAACCATCCCTTAAATTCTAACCTAAAAAGCCACTTGAACCACTTATCACCCAACCTAAAAAAATTCATCCAATTATATGAAAGCTTCTCAGTGTCATCCCAAAATCACAAATGGAAGATGTAACTCTCAATGTTGCCCTATAAACACAATTTAAGGAAGAATTAGATTCTACTTTAATTAGTCAAATCATGGAGGATGAGGACATTGCTGAGGCAAAAAAATGTATCAACTTAGACCTTATGGATGATGAATTCAGTTATGATATTGGAAATGATCATGATGATTGGGACAACAGTTAGCCAAGTTCATCTTTTCTTGATGAACTGGAGAAAATTACTAAAAACTTTCTACAAAACTCTCCTAATAGCGCTAGAAAACCTCACATCCTTTCTTAGGATTACATGACTAAGGAGGAAAAAGATGGTGGTATGGGCTTTATAAAGTTAAAATGTCAATATAGCATTAATTATGAAGCTATGTTAGGGCCTTACAATCAAATCTAATGGCATCATGGTTAAGGTTCTTTGTGATAAGTACAATTGCAACAAGCCAACTAAATCTATGATTGTCAAACCTAGCATATAACATCCTCAAATTTCAAAACTTGGAATTTAAAGTGTAAACAAAGGTAAATTGGTACAATTCAGAATTTATGAGACTAATGGTGTTCCGAGACCACTAATGGGTTTATTAGACCTCTATACGACTTCAAAAGGGACTAGTTTGGTTTTCGGGCAGACTGGCCATCAAATGAAGCCTAAAATTTATTTTGGCCTCATTGTGCTATTCGCCATGACTGTTGCATCATGCACTGCGACGGATGTGCAAAAATATGTTTATCCTTGTTTTTTATTCTTGAAACAAAGGATCTTAAGCTTGAGGAGCTTAAAAGGATTTTATCATTACCTTTGTAAGCTCAAGTGGTTAGAACCGAACCTGTTAGGATAGGCTGGCACTCAAGGGGGTGAATTGGGTGACATTTACAAACTTTTAAAAACTTAAAAAGAGTGAAGAGCTAAAGAGTGAAGGAAGAAGATAACACACTTAAGATTTTTAACTAAAATCACAAGCTTCAATGAGTGCTTGCCAGCATAATACAACTCTCAATACTAACCTTGTCTTGATTCACTTAACAAATCTTGCTACAATCTAGTAAATTGTTGCGAATACTTGAAAAGTCCCTTTTAAAGATTTCTGAGAAAATAGTATAAGCTTTTTCTCTTAAAGAGTATATGAAAATACAAATGAAAGCTTATAAACCTTTGAGAGTTTTTCACAATTCTTTTCAAGAATAATGAATTAATGCAATAAGTAAAAGCACGATTTGAAAGCTCTTTAAATGCATAAATGATAATTTGTTCGCTTAAAGATCATTAGTTCTTGTTCTGGATCAAAATGAATCACTTATATAGTTTTTGGAAGTTAATAGGCTATTGGAACAATGATTCTATCCGTTGGTGCATTTTCTTATGAGTAACCGGTATAATCACGCATCACTTTACACTGAAGAAGTTTTAGAAAACTAAATGTGATGAATCACATGTGAGCACTTTGTCCTCTCACGTGTAATTTTGCACTTCTGAAAAACTATTCAGTTATGTGTGCCAAAACTTGCGTGATACCTCATTACTCTCTCTTATGGTTTAGCACTTAAGAATATACATTCATTTTTGTGTGTTAAAACTCATTTAGTATCATATTACTCTTTCACATGGTTTTACACTTATGAATATACTAACATATCAAAATGCTAAAACTTGCGAGTGCACCATTTGCTCTCATGCGTGGTTTTACACATAATGAACTATCATTAGTTCTGTGTGACAAATCACACATGGAACCTTTACTCTCTCACGCATGAAATGGCTAGTAGAATGCCAAGGCCATTCTATGTGATCAAAACTCACGCGGAACTAGAATAATATCAAGCATGAAATTGCAAGTATTAATGCATAAATTTGTCTGATGCATATTCACATGTGGAATAATGCATAACTCAAGCAAGATTTTGCATGATCAAGAGGTATAGATTTGTGAATCAATGATCATACATGTAAACAATTTTAGCTTGACTTGAGAAGATTTAAAACTCAACAAAATAAAGTGTGATTAATCAACAAGGTGACAAATCACACATGGCTGCCATGAGTCTCATGCGTGATTTTGCATTTTGTCACAATACAATGAAGCACAGATGCTAAAACTTGCATAGATAATAAAGCCTTTCATGTGTGGTTTTGCATATAGAGACAAAGCTTAAAGCAACATACAACACAAGTCCTTAATCACACGTGAAGCACTTCTTCATACTCACGTGATTTAGCTGTCAGTGTGTTGAAAATTATGCCCTAGGGCCAATCATTGTACTATACACATTGTTATTTAATGAATTTCTCTTTTGTTTTGATAATAATTGTATGTTTAATAGGATATCTGTATCCTTAGACAAACTATAGTAATTGTCATAAATGTTCCTAGTCGATCATCTTTGAAGGATCATAGATGAAACAAGACTAGTATGACTTTAATTAATTATAGAGATCCAAATTAAAGTCATAGGCACTTGAAAGAGTACAAAGTGCTGAACTAACCTACTATGAGAAAGCTGCATGGTACAAGTCATAAAACTTATCTCATATATAACTATATCACTAAGCCTTTTGACTTGAAATCATCATGGATTCCTACATGATGACCACTAAACTTTGACCTAGTCAAAAGTCACCTTTGACCGGGTGATCATAAAGGCTATGATTGAGTTTAATGATATTCATGCAAAAGAATATGAGTGGTCAAGATGGAATTTGTCCCTCACATTAAGTGAGAGATATTACTAGGCCCCTCGATAAGTAAGACTGAGAAAATGTATGGCCATACTACAATGGAAAGGGTTTTTTCATTGCTACTGTCAGTCTACTCAGAGATTGAGAAAGTAATGGTTAGGTAAAGAAAAATGACAATTTCATGTCTCATACTTGATCGAAACATCGCGTGACAAAAAGGATGTGATATAGTTACATGATAGGTTACATCGGATCATTGATCCTCATGTAAATTAGGTAGTTGTAATGTCTTGCTATAGGCCACTTGTGACTTGTAGGCTAATAGCATAATTAGCCTACTACTAATTTCATATGGCTCTATAAGGTCGCATACAAGAACAGCCCAACTTGAGCTATAATGTTCAAGTTCATTGAATGTAATATAGGGTGAATGAATTTTATATATATATATAATATGTATATGTGATATATATTATATTATATTATATTATATTATATTATATTATATTATGTTAGTTTTAAATTTAATTTTATATGATAGATTAAATTTAATAACTAACATGATATGAGAGAATATCATGTTAGTTTTATAATTTAAATTTGTAAGATAAATTTGAATTAGATATGATATTATGAATTAAATTTATGAGATAAATTTAATTATATTTTCATGGGCTTTTAAGTGGAAGATGAAAATCCTTATTTATATACTATATATATATAGATAGGAACGTCTTTGATTGAGGATGAGAGAGTTATAAAAGTCTTGATGGCAAAAATACTTTGAGAGTCATGAAACACCCTATAGAAAGAAAACTAACATTTATAGAAGAACGAACACTGGGAGCATTAGCACGCTATTCGAGTTAGAAAGCTATTTGTGTGGATATCGATAGAGGGAGCAGATCTACGTTGTCAGCTCTTAAGATCCAAACTCTTAAAGAGAACGTGCGCCAAGTTTGAAGAATTAAAAGGTAACTCTTCTATTCACGTTGATTTAAACAAGTTCGTTCGGTCCATATTAGGATAGACACTTTAAAATTTTTAATCTTCTACTGCGCTGATAGGGAATTAGTCGCTTATTCTTAAAATTAAACTAAAGCTAACTCTAATGCAATATAAGGTTAACCCTAGGTCATTTTTCAAGGAATGGTCTTAGTCTAATTAAAAGTTATCTAGTGAAATAAATCACCCAAAGTTGTAGAAATTTAGTTACCTAATTATCTAAACTAATTACCTTACGATTAAAATGCTAAATAAAGTGAGTGAAGTACACTTCCCTTTTCACAAGAGTAGAATCCTAGAGATTAGTTGATTTTAGACTTATTATC